CTAGAGCATTCAAACATGAACTGAAAGTTTCTTGTTTGTACTTACCAGTATAGCAGCTGTTCCCCTTCCTGGACTGCTGGAACTCCACCAGCAAAGCAGGCGCTGCTGCCACGATGATTGCGTTAGGGCAGATGTTAATTGCTAACGCAGTGTGTAACGTACTCTGTCTAGTCTCTAAAGTGGCAAAACTAAGGCAGGTAAGGGATGGGAAAGAGGATGGTTTCAAAGTAAGAAAGGCGAAGCCTACTGCTGTTTTTCTTAGACTAGAGAGCAAATCTCCCCAAATTCCTGGGGGCTCTGTGCTGCCAGGGAGTGAAACCCTGAGTAGCATTTCGGAGATGAGCACTGGTTGCTGCTTTTGGAGGTCCTGGCTGCTGTTGTTGGCAATTCCACAGCAAATCCATGTCTGTAAAAGAAACGTGTTCGTGTTCTTGGGTGGTATCTGTTAAAATGCTTTATGGCCGCCTGAAAAGGTGCTCAATACAGAGTCTCTGACACCATAGTAACCACAGCCAGAACTGAAGAAGCTGCTTCCCTGGTCCTGCTCGCCCTTTGGCATCAGAGGAGAGGGTGGGAAAGTCATCGTCTTTTATGGGGTGGCATTTGAGAAGCCCTTGTGTGGGGTGAGGGGGGCGTGGTGGTACGTGAAGAGAAGCGCGGAGTGTGCACACTGACAAGCATGGGCAATGTAAATAGTTTGCTCACCGTGGATCATTGTGCAGCCAGAAGCAGAGGCTGGGAGATGCACGTCTTGAATTCTGTATCCTAGGAGACACTGGACTCGTGTTGTGTAAATAAATCCTGCTTTCCCCTTTAAAACAAAGCAGAAATACTTGGTGGCTGGTTACAAAACTACAAGGCGTGGGCACTTTGAGTTGCTCTGGGAAGGTGCTGAGTCCCCCCCGAAGTTTCTGGGATATTTATAAACCGGTACCTGAAACCCCCTCCACTCGGATTCCTTTTCTCAGATTCTGTCTATATTGTTTTCTGGAGCAGACCTCAGTTCTCATACGTGCCACTTTGCACAGCGCTGCTGGTGTTATCGACCACGGGGCAATTGCTCTGGCATCCTGCCTGTGTACTCAGCTTTCCCTCTGAGCAGCGCAGGCCTTTGCATCAGAGACCTTGAGATTTTGCTTTTCGTAGTCACAACAATGCAAGAATTTGGAGTGAGGTTTGAAGCAAAGATTTATGTAGGAACTTGCCCCTAAGTGTAAAACACTGAGCTTTTCAAACACCTCTCCGCTAAATCATGACACTGAATCTCCATCTAGTGCCCGGGGGAAAGCCCAGCTGTGGGAAAGAAGTAGGTAAAAAAACTTGGATCCAGTGTCTCCATTCTTCCAGCTGTCCTAGACATACGGAGCGGTTGTCAAATGGCTGGGTTAGGCATCTGCTCGTCCTGCTGGATGGGAAGAACTTAGAACTTAGTTCATGCCTGGAAGAACTAGGAAGGGATACATTTAAATATTTGGAGTTTTCCCCTACTCTAGATTTTCAGTCAAAAGACTAGAGTGAAAATGAAGGGAAAAGTCACAACATCTGTATGACTAACAAATGTTGTCGTGCTCCTCAGTAGGCAGTGACTTGGCTTTGTTTGGGTCGAAGAAGTGATTTTTTTTAAAAGTCTTTGGTATGTGCTCCTGTCTTTCAGCTGATCACAGATACCTTCAACCATCACAACAAACTAGCTCAGAAGGAGCAGAAGGAGAAGAAGGCTCGTCAAGAGGCAGAGCGGCACGAAAAGGCAGAGCGAGCTGCGAAACTTGCTAAAGAAAAGCAAGAAGCAAACGAGCCAAGGATTAAGGAACTTACGGACGAGGAAGCAGAAAGGCTGCAGCTGGAAATCGACCAGGTGAGAGCAGTGTCTGGGGCCTGCAGGCACCACCTAGGTCGTCTCCTCCATTGGCCTGCATGTAGCTCTGGGAGCAGTGAGTGGTTAAAATGGCTCAAGGCTTGTTCCTTTGCAGTGTCTGGACCACCAGACTGGTGTGCTTCGAATCTAAATCAGGCTAGGCCAAACCACTGCATTTTCATGTGGATTCTCCCATAACTCACTTGGCCTTTCTGCCTTCAGCAAGCTCTCTGTTTGTAGCAACACCCTCTGCTACAGTCATCAAGGCGTGAGGAGCAAGGGAGTCTTCCCCGTGGCAGTACCGCTTTCCTGTAACGCTTTTAAGGGCTGAAAATTCCCCGCCAGTCTTTGGGTGCAGTTCTGATCCCGCTCTTTAGTTTCAGCTGCGGAGGCTGAGGCCACCTAGTGTCAGATCAGCAAGTAACACAAAGTGACAACGCTTGTCTGAGCATGTTCATTCTCTTTTTAAACAGAAAAAGGAGGCACAAGGACAGATTAACAGTGTCCCAGTGAAACCCTCAGAGGATGAAGGTGAATCTTTGGATTCTAACAAACAGGTAAAGCTCATCTAGGGACTTTATTTTAGTCAGAGAAATGGGTTTCTGGACAACCATGAGAACTCCTGTAAATGTGAGGGACTGCGTTGAGAAGACACACTTAATTCCCAAAGATTTCAAGGGGGGGGTGTTTTCCTTTCCTTTCCTTTCTTTTTTTGTAACTATGTTTTAACAGAAACACCTATACGTTTCGGGCTAAATTTATGTGAATATCAAATACGTGCACCTGACCTGAAATTCATATAAAACCCAAGAACTCTTGTTACAAGCAAAAGATAAATGGAAACTTGAAAAGTTTCTTTCTTTACCCTTTAAATTGGTTGCTTAGGAAACAGATGACGAAGAGGAAGATGAGAAGGATAAAGGAAAACTTAGACCCAACTCTGGCAATGGAGCTGACCTTCCAAATTATAGATGGACACAGACTCTTTCAGAACTGGATGTAAGTATTGCCTTATTGCCAGGATCTGAGGAGTCTGAGATAGGAAATAAGAGCAGGTGCTGGTAAGAATGGTGGAGCCGCTGCCCTGTACCTCAGTTGCCTGTGGAAAGCGGTTAGTTGTACTTAACGGCAGCATTTCCATAGCTGGGAGAGAGCTTGGCCACTAAATAAAATGCCCAGAAGCTGTAGTTAACTTGGCCTAACCTTGGTCTTGTTTAAACAAGGCATTAAAATCTGCTTCCCTTTTTATGGTCCCTTTGAGGTATTGGCCATCCTGTTGCCAAACTTATTCTTGTATCCTTTCACCTCCCGCTTGCTTGGTACCTCAAGGAAAATATTGTGTGCTCTGTCCTATTCTGGTGAAACCAAGGCAAAGAATAGCAGCACAAGAGGGTAAGGAGAGGCTTCGCTGCTCGGCTCCTCAAATATGATCTTTGTCTGGTCCAGCTGGCCATCCCTTTCAAGGTGAACTTCAGGTTGAAGGGGAAGGACGTGGTGGTGGATATCCAGAGACGGCGCCTCAAAGTTGGCCTGAAGGGCCATTCGCCTGTCATTGACGGAGAGCTTTTCAATGAAGTGAAGGTGGAGGAGAGCTCCTGGCTGATTGAAGATGGTAAAACAGTCACCGTGCACCTGGAGAAGGTAAAGCAGAATGAATCGGGGAGGATTCAGGCTTGTCTGCCTCTTCCCTGGTGAAATAAGAGTCTGACAAAACCTATGAAAGCCCTGGGCTTCGTCAGCTGAAACAGAAGAACCGTGCTTATCCTTGGGACAATGTCAGTGATGCTGTTGGAAGCGGGGCAGTGCAAGTTCCCCGTCTTCAGCCTAACTTCATGCTAATCCAGGATATCCAATTGATTGCTCAGCAGTTCAGGAAAAGCTGGAAGGAAACCGGTCATTCTGAAGTTGTTCCTTAATGGAATTTCATTCCAGCAGCTTTTTCCTGTGATGAGACATAAAATTCCTAGAGTAAGTCCAGGAAAAATAAAATATTGTTGCTTCTTCATCCTTCAGATCAACAAGATGGAATGGTGGAACAAACTAGTCTCCACAGACCCGGAAATCAACACCAAGAAAATTAATCCAGAGAACTCAAAGGTAAGAACTCCCCCCGTTTTACTGAATGGAGCCTTCTCATAAATGTGCTCACGCTCGGCTCACATTCAACTTCTATGTCTTTTTTTTTACCAGTATAAAACCAATACTGGGAGTACTGCTACATATGATGCCATTGTGTAACATAAGTGCCCCCAAAACTTCAAATGAATGAAGCTGAGTCTGTTGATTAGTGTCTGTATAAGTGTTTCTGCAGCACAGCATAGCGTGACCTCAATGTATCCGTGTTCTCTGCAAGCAGGGTGTATGCATGGGTTGGGACAAGTTATCCCAATTTTGACAGAAGTCCTTGCTTTTAGTTGTCAGACCTGGACAGCGAAACTCGCAGTATGGTGGAGAAAATGATGTACGATCAACGACAGAAATCCATGGGCCTCCCCACGTCTGATGAACAGAAGAAACAAGACATTTTGAAAAAGTGCGTAGACCTCATTAGTTTGTGGGTATTTTCTTTCCCAAGCCCCTCTTCCTCTCCAAAACAAATATGTGAGCAGAAAACAGGTTGGCCTTCAGTCCTGCCTGTGTTCCCATCTGCAGTTATGTAGTCGTTGAATCGTTGGCCAACCACCAGTGTCTATAAAAGCCTGTGGGGGTAGGAAGCATAACGGGAAGTTCTGGGAATAGCCTAGCTCTGGCATTGTCTTAATCTGCTGATTTCAAGTCCAGAAAGCATGCTTGGAACTGGAGGTACCGTCTCTACTGAACTTTAACATGGTCTTGATTGTTTTCTAATCTCCCTCTCCTCAGTGGCCCCGATAACTGCCCCTCTTTACACACCTGCCACCAGACAGCTGTCTCCAAGCCAATAGCACTTTTATGGCTTTATTGCCCTGTTTGGCATAAACGCACCTTGGCAGGGAAGTTACTCATGGGGCTCCCAAGGCCATTTGGGAAGGCGTGGAGGCAATTCTGGTTGTGCAGCTTCTTCAGCAAGTGCAAACCCACATCTTATCTCAGGATTGGAAGGAGGATTTTGTGTTGAAGGCCTGACTCCTTCTCTTCCTTGGCTTATCTGTAGTGGCAGAAGCTTCGCTCTGATCAGCGCGTCAAGTACAGCATAGGGTGCATCTGTTCTAGAGCAGAGACCAGGCTTCCTTAGCGCCTGTCTGTTGAGGTGGTAGGACGGGAGGTAGCCCGCTCCTCCCGGGAAGCCCACATGCAGGATACCTCGTTGGCAAGGTTGCTCGCTCAGTGCTCTGGAAGTTTGGCTTGTGCGCAGCTTGGCTGGTAAAGGACGGATAAGTTTAGACTTTGTTCAGACCAAAGTAGGGTTGGTGACAGCCAGGTGGGTCCTAATCTCCGCCAGTGAAGCCCTCCTGGCTGCTAAACAAGGACACTATTCTCGCAGCACGTATTTCCGTGGAAATGGGAAGTGGAAACGCTGTGGTGGCGTTTCAGGGAAACCATGGGATGGGAGCACGGAGGAGGACAGAGGCCTGCCCTTACTTGCACTTTGTGCGCGAGTCCTCCACACGGTTACATGGTGTGTCCCTCGGTGAACTGCAGGGCAGAGGAGGGAGCCGGGAGCTTCTGCGCGTACCGATCGCTCCCGATTGCTCCTAGGCACAGCGATCAGAACTTTCTGATGTGGCAACCTGAGTCCAAATAGTCCTATCTGCTGGGATTGCAGCACATTCGAAATCAGGTTGCACCTAGTCTGAAACCAGATTTCCCTGGTCACGTCCTTCATGAGTTTTCACTGTCGCAGCGCTGGAGATATTCCCCACATCCCCAGTAAAGCTTAAGGTAACACGCTGGCGCTTAAATCGTAATCTCCCCTCTGCCCCACAATCGGTGTCATAGCTGCTACGTGTCTGTCCGAGAGGCAACAGTTAAAGGGCGTGTGCCTGATAATTAATAACTCCCCTGTATCTGGACTTGCTGACCTTCATGGCTGGGAGGATCGCTGATACCACTGACCCGAGGAAAAAGTGTTTGTAGTAGGGGGAGCGTGTCCCAAGGAGCTCAGCAAAACTCCCTGCTGTGGAGGGCGTGGGGAGGAAGCAAACGTGATAGTGCAGGAAGTAGGGATGCCTTAGCCCCCCCAAACAGAGCTGCCCTGTGGCTCCTGCTGACTCATACCCAAGCTCTTGTCTTTGTTTTCCTTGCAGGTTCATGGAACAGCATCCAGAAATGGACTTTTCAAAGGCTAAATTCAACTGAGCCCTCCCCTTCTCCCCCCCTTTCAGTCAGCCTGTCGAATGGGGCAGATATGTATTGGCCGGATATCCCTTACCTTGGGCAAGTAACCACTTCCAGCATCCCCACCCGAGCTTGCTGTGGAGGCAGCTTCACGAAGTCATCCTCAGTTGTCCTGCGTCGAGCAGAAGGCAAGGCCGCAGCCGCGGCCTGCAGCAGCTCTGGTCGGAGCCATCTGCGCCACTTCCCAAACGGCAGTTAGGAGAGAAGGAGGGGTTAGAGCAAAAAGGCTGTTAGGGCTACAAGAGCCAGACTTGCGAGGTTTTGGGATGTATCCTTAATGTATCGCGAAGCTTCATTTCCTGGCTCTTCAGAGCTGCTAATCCACTCTGCCATTTCAGTTTGGCAGCAGGTACTCCCAAGTTTTTAACCCCTTCCCCTCGACTTTCCTGTCCTCCTGTGAAAACAAGGGCCAGTTTATTTTGTAAAACAATTCTCCTTCTGCCTCCTTGGGAAGGGAAAACACCAGTGTAAAAAACCAGCTATTGCAGTAGAGACAGACTCTGCTCCTCCTTGCTGCTGCTCCTGTTCTTGCCAGCAGTGGAACAGGCTGAGCCCCACAGGGCTCGAGGCAGAGCCCCCATCTCAGCTGGAGCGGCTGCTGACCGGCTGTCCTGCGGCAAGGGAAGGCTGGGGTGTCTGGTTGTGGGCAAGGGAGAGGTCGTGGGGGGCCCTTGGGGGTGCAGTCCTTGCTGGGAGCATCTCCTGCCCCTTTCCCCAGAGCCTCTCTCCCTGCTGCCTGCTGCCAGGCATCGCTGCCTTCTCTTCTGAGCTCCCCGCCGACAACCGGCATTACTCTGCATGTTCCTATCTTTGTTAAAACTGCAGTGCAACATAAAGAAAAAACAGTGGCATATTTCCAGGTAGAGCGTGTGATGTCTCGCGCAGAAGGGATCCAGGCTGCCTGCGCAGGCTGGGAGGGGGCAGCGCCTGGGAAGGGGGAGCTGGGGGCTGCCTGGCAGGGGCCGTGCTCTGCAGCCGCCTGTGAATCCCCCGGGCTCCCCACCCCGGGCTGACCTTGGCTCCCCAGCTGAGGGGAGGCAGTTGGAGCTGCGCAGCTCGCGCAGGGGTGCTGATGAGCTTCATGCCCAGCTGAAACCCTCGGGGCTGTCCCCGCTCCGCTCCACGTAGCAGCGCGTGACTGCACAGAGGCGGCCACCCTTGCCCTGGGTCTGCTTTGTGACGAGCTGAGGAGAAAAGTGTCACAAAAGCGTCAGTCCTTTACGGGCTACCCCAGATCCCTGCTGCCATGGTTCTCGCCTCTGCCGCCCCAAAACGTTTCCACCTCCTGCCAGAGGGAGTGGGCACGAACGGCTGAAAAACCTGCTTGGGCAAAGTCCAGCCTGGCATGGCACCTGGCATGCTTGGTTTTATTTTTGAGCAGTAGGACATTGTTTGCCTTTAGTCTCCCAGTTTTATAGGCTCTTGGGGTCAAAAACCAGCACCCACCCAGTTGAGCAGTGACCTTGTGGGCAAGCAAGGACCCAGGTCAGGGCAGCCACCTCTGGACTACCAGATCCTCCCGCCTGTTCATCTTAACAGTTCACCGCACACGACTGCCTGTCTGTGCTTGGGCACTGATAAGCCCACAGGGTCTCCCGTTACCGTAAAAAAAAAGCCAGAGCGTGCCGGCTTCAAAGGCACTTAGCCCCCGGGCAAGCGTACCTGCCTGAATGTGCTTGGCCGTGGTGCAGGTGAGCTGGGAGGGCCAAGCTGCTCGAGGTGTGACGAGCTTCACCCCAGCCTCAGCTGCGTGTCTGAGCGCTGCTGCCGCTCCCTGGAGTTGCAGGAGATCGTGGGGAGACGGCTGGGCCCCACACCTGCAGCGGGATCCGCAGGCGGCCCCTCCTAGGGAGCAAGCGCCGGCAGGCGCCGGGGCAGCAAATGGGGGCTGTGTGGCTCCCGGCACCACCCAAACCCCCCCTGGAGCTTTGCTATTTCCCCGTTACCGCCTCAGCTCTGTGACCAACGCCAGAAAGCCCAAGCCCGACCCGATCCGTGGGTTGGCGTTGCGCCGCCTGCTCCAAGTGCAGAGCTCCCTCGCCTGTTACCAAAGCCTCGGCGGCTGTTGCTGTCCCCGGCCCTGCAGCGTCGTGGCTCGCGTGAGGCGGGGCGGCCGTCGGGGTGGTCGTGACTGTGAACCCCTGAGTTTTCCAGCTCGGGCTGGCGCTGGCCTTGGGCCTGGTCGGTGGCGCTGCAGGAGGCAGGCTGGGCGGTGGCTGCGAGTGGGCAGAGGGCAGACAAAGAAAAGGCAGCGGCAGGAGCTCCGGGGAAGCTGGGGAAGATTTTTTGGGGTGAAGGAGCCTCATTTTGCCTTTCAGGCAGGTGAAGGGAAAAGGCAAACAGTCCTGGGAGAACGGGCCGTAACCGCAGCGCTGAACCCTACTGCAGGTGAATGCCCGGGGCTGTGTTTGTGAACGGCGGTTGATCCCGGCGCTACCCCTGGACTTCAACCCTTCTGGCCAGCGGAACAGAAGGTGTTTCTCCTGACGGCCTTGTCCCCTGCAGACACCCGGCTGCCACCGACTTTCTCTGGGCCGAGCTGAATCAGAAGCACCCTTTTGCTTCCAAAAGGCAGTTTCCCCTGGAATAAATCATGCCAGGGCAGGATGGCTCTGGTCTGACCCGCTGCAGAAGTGGCTTAAAGAACGCAAATCCCCTCCCAGGCTGAGTTACTGGAGACCACGGGCCGTGGCCTCGTCCTTGTGCCCAGGGCAGTGCTGGGCACTGTGAGGGGCGTCGGGCCCAAACCCAACGGACACATCCTTGCTTTGACTCCCAGCAGGTCGGGGAGGGCCGTGCTGGACGGCGGCAGGCGATGGAGGTCCCTTTGCCTTCCCACGCCTGTGCCAAGCCACCGGAGAAGCCGTTTTGGTGCTGCCACCCGCCGGAGCCGTGGCTGCCAGCACAGCCCGGAGCTCCTCCACCCGCCTGGGGCTCCCTTGCCGCTGGGCCCCTTCTCCCCTCCTTTCAAAGCAAAACCTGGAGGGCGTACAGGCTCGGCAGAGGGCTGGCCATATGGGAAAAGTTTCCCCATCTTTTTTTTTTTTTTTTTTTAACTAACAGCAGCTCTTGGCTTCGCTTTTATTAATGCCTATTGCAGCTCAGCCCATGTGGGCAGCGGTCCAGGCTGCAGGGCTGCTTTGGAAAGAGCAATGAAACAGCAAAACCCCAAAGAGGGAACCGGAGGCACTGGGCATTTAACATGACCGCTTCCCTTGCGGAGAAGCCGCAGCTCCTCTGTTGCTGCTAAGGACCAGGCGGTAAGGAATGAGGGTCAATCCATCCGCTTTCTGACTTCTAAGCCACGCTGAAACCAATCACTCCGTAGCTCAGGGCACGGATGGGGAAGATGAATTCCCTCAACACTCAAAGCCTCGTGCATCTGTTCCCGGCAGTCACTGAGCTTCCTTAGCCCGGCCCAGGGAAGCGCCAGCGGGCGCTGGGCTGTGCTGGACCCTACCGACTCGCTGTGCCGAGGCGCAGCACGGGCGGCACGGCGAGGACCCACGCGCGGCACGAGTCTCTGGAGAGCCGCCTGGCAAAACCAAGCCCAATAAAATCAAACAATGTCTTCAGGAAGAGAAAGGTGCTGAGTCAGGTTCCCAAAGGGAAATACCTGCGTGAAAAGAGCATGTTTGCATGCGTGCGGCTGGGTAAAGGGCTCTCCTGTTTGTAAGATCTCCACTTGGGCAACCAACCCTTTCTGCCAGATCACTCAGCAGAACACTCAACGCTAATGCTCAGAGCAAAAACCACTACAGCAACAGCCAAGACAACTTGATCGACAGCAAACACGACCTTCAGCAGACAAAAAAACCTGTGGATTCATTGTGAGCAAGGAAACCCACGATCCACGCAGCAAACTCAAAAGCAGGAGAGTTGCTGAACACGGGACTGACAGCAAAGACAGACCGACTACAGCATCGCAGTTTTAAATGCAAAGTTTTCAAATCTCTCCAGAAATTGCAGTGACCTCGCAGCAGCAGCTCTGGAGCAGCCAGCTAGTTCAGAAGCAGCGCTTTGGGGCAGGGGATGAGCTCCCGGGCTGCGCACCCAGCAGAGCCGCACTGAGCAGCCATCGGACCCGAAGCCTCCAGAAACGGTCTTTCCCCGGGGATTCAACGTGCCCAAGCAGCAATACTGCGTCTTACAGCCCCTCAGTCGCTCCAGGCGCTTGAATGAGTGCCGAGGGAGGACTCACCTCTTCCAGGAAAAGTACTGGAGAAATTTAGAGAGGAAGGGTAGGCAGGGGGCAGAAAAATGTGGCCCAGACTTGCAGGGGGAAGCAGCAGGGCAGCTTAGGAGCAGGGGGGGACAGCAGAGATGGCAGTGACACGGCCACGTCCCCGCATGGGGCGCCAGGGGTTGGCAGCAAGCTGCTGCCGGCAGCCTTTGCTCCACTTCCCTGGGGCCCAACCAGCTGGGTCGAGGGCTCCAGACACAAAACCATCTCCTCTGGAGACCCTTCCCAGCCAAGAGAAGGCAGCATTTACCTGTTCACAGCTTTAAAATCCTCCCAGGAAACACGTCCCTCTCACGACTGTGTGGACTGCCTGCTGCCGAAGCGTGGCCGGCCAGGCTGAACTCGGTCTTCGTTTAACAAAATTGGGACCACACACAGAAGGGCTCAGGTTTGGGTTCAGTCTTCTGCCCGTCTGCACAGACGAGACAAGAATCAGGGGTCCTTAACAGACCGAGCTTAAGGGGAAAAAAAAGGAGGGGTTAGTGCCAATCCTTCACACCATCCAGCCTCTTACCTCGGTCCCCCGCCCAGGGAGGGCGAGGAAGGTCGGTGGCAGGGAACGGAGCTCTGCAGGTCGTCGGCGGAGGTTTTGTAGTGAAATTAGAAAGTGCGAAACTGGTCCTTCGAGTCATGGGTCAGAGCGAGCCAGCCTCCCTCCCGCCACCAGGAACAGCAGCCGCTCCAGAGCAATTCTTGCATTTTCTGCCAACAGCTGTCTGCACCACAGGGAACGAGCTGGAAATTCCCCCCCCAGGCTCAGTTTTTCCAGAGCTCAGTTCCGGCATCGCCCCTCAGGGAAGGTCGGGGTTTCCCTCCCTCCGAACAGGCGCTTCCCCAGAGGCTCCTTTATTTGCACCCAGCTTCCCCGCGTCCCACGCGCCAGCCCAGCGCTCAGCCCTCGATGATCCCCCGGGCGCGGCCAGCGCTGCCAAATGGACGAAAATATCTTTGTCCACATGCTGCTGGGAAAGCAGGGATCAGCAATGCCTGCGCACCCCCCGCCCAGGCTCCCTCCGCCGAGGGATGCTCTCCCCAGACTGATGCAAGCAGGAACGTAAGAGAGACAGCACAGGTAAAGAGCACATCTTTTGCTTTATAAAAAAAGACCAAATCAGATGTTTAAGGCCAAGGAGTG